AGAACCATTGAGCTTCATAGCGTGTGGTAGCGAGTTATATAAGCATAAGGTCCTGTCAGGGTAGGCATCAAGAACGAACAGACCATTCTCAAAATATTAAATACCTGCTATGTCCCAGTCTCTGGGTTTAGAAAAATAATGAGTGCTGTCTGCCTGCTAGGAATTCCAAGTTTAGTGGAGAAAGACACACACACACACACACACACACACACACGCACGCACGCACACCATTTCTTATGCATCTCAGATTCTTGCCTGTTCTTTTCAAGCTCCGTCTCTAATATTCAAATGTTAAGAACTTGTTCCAGTTCACTTGGCAGAGCCAGGATTAAATCTCAATTCTGCTTGCCTTTTAAGATCATACTCTTTCCTCAATACCATTCAGTGCCTCTCAAACATTTCCCATGCAAAGTGAAACGCTTATACATAAGGGTAGGTGTGAACCAAGACCATCAGAAACATGTGAAACAGAGCTAACTCTGACTGGGGGAGTCCCAGAGGACATCACAGGGGAGATGTTTTCTTCAGGATTAGTCAGATGGGCATGAGGGGAAAGGAATTCCAGGAAGAAAGCAGCATGTCCCAAGAGGGAGGGCTTTGCAAATGCAGGAACCAGAGACAGGGCTTTGCAAATGCAGGAACCAGCCTTTGGTGGTGGCAGGTGGCCTAGAGCAGTGGGAAGTCTGGAGTGTGTGAAGGGAAATGTGGTACGGGGTAAGTCAGCGAAGGCAGGTGAGGCAAAGGCCATGAAGGGCCTCCACAGTCAGTTAAGGCGTTCAGATCTGTTCCCACAGGCAATGGGAAATCATCAAAGGTTCTGAGAGGGAGAAACTTCTGATGTTATATTTAAAGGGTCAATTTTTGTCCATAAAGGGATATATATTTATACTTTGGAACATTGTACAACTCACTGCCTCCTTTGAAAAGGAAAAAAAAATCATTTGAAACATATGGACATGGAGTTTGCCCCTTTAATTTTATTCTGTACCATATGGCACTTTGAATTTTAGAATATGAGTAGAAGATTGACTTCACAGATCAAAACCTAGTAAGAGAAATCTCATCTGTTATTTTAATTTCCTCCCCACTATAGCCAATGCCCAATTTATCAATCCAATAAAAGGATCGAGTGAGATCAAATAACAACCTGTAAAGTACTTAGACATGCCTGGTATATACCAGGCACAATATAAGGATTTGAGACACACACACACACACACACACAAAGTGTAAAAGGCATTTGCCCTTAATTTCTTAGCTAAACTACATGGTAATATGGTAATAAAGTAATTTCAGCCCTACCATAGGGAGAATTGAAGGATATACACACTTGCACATGCACACACCAATACAGAAAAATGAATAGAGGCATCAAAAAATAGCTGTTATGCCAAGCCAAGGTACAGCGTCACTTTAAAAACAGTTCTTAGGTTTTTAGAAACCAGAATTTACTTCCATATCAGATTTTCTAAATAAACTTGTTATAAACTTTTACAAGAACTTTCCTCAAAGAGCCTCTGTATGGATTGATATATTACTCATACATCAAGGCTATGTTTCTACTAAGCCAAATAAACATCTGGACAAAAGCTTTAATCATTTCATTGTTTCCAAGCGCCTGGATGTTTGAGGGCGATAAGGCATCTAGACCCTGACTGGGATTTTGGTCTTTATCAGATACAACTGCAAAGAGAAATCCAGCTGAAGGTTTAAAAACCATATTAATTGTAGTGCTTCAAAGCTCAGGGAAGTTAAATGACATGCCTAACGTCATAGAGCTGGCAAGAGGTTGGGCAGGGTTTCAGCCCTGGTCTGTCCAATAAGATATCTCAGCCTATTTCCTTTTCACCACATCAGTTGCCTCAACAGTGCCTTATTCAGCAGATTCTGAAGCACAGAATAACCAGCCTTTCAATATTTATAATCTTGCCAGTTTATAGAAAGAAAATGATATGAGTAGAAAAGACATTAACTGTCTTGCCCTGAACTCTGCATGTAAACACGAACTGGTAACTTAGCCTCACAGCAGAAATTCACATGCATTTCCACAGAGTGGAGACATGCTTAACAAGTGTTTTAGAATGCTACAACTAGAAGGAGCATTAGGTACCATCTGGGCTACCTCTCCTCATGCTGAGGGTACATTTCTACATTAAAAGGAACAGGAAGAGAAACCAGACCAAAGTTCTCCAGTTTCAGTAATCAGGTGCTTTGCTTACATTTCTGAACTTTTTATCTACACTTGCTCTAAGTGCTGTCACACATGCTAAAACGTAAGCTTGGCAAAGCTGGAACTGAAATGTAAACATTGGTGATTTTACGCAAAGGTAAAGGCTCTGGTTTGGATGGTTAAAGAAACGAGGAGTTTCTCACTGGGCTAGCACTAAGCTTCAGGTTAGAGTGTTTCAATGTCTCCACCTTGTGGACATAATCAACACTACAGCAAAATAAATTCACTGGCCATCTTTTTATAATTAAGACTGGTTTGACAATAAACTCAACTCTTTATTACAGGATACAAAAACTGCAAAACCAGCCAGATTTTTTTTGGTAGTATATGAAAATGGGAGTTGATAATAATACATCTGAGTCCATGCTAGATACCAAAAGTCTTCTAAACAATAATACAAAGATTACATTATGCGCAATTCAGTTGTAGTTAATAGGTGTATGCTATTGTTTTTCATGTTTGTAGAAAACTAGAAAAAAAAAATGATGCTCCAAGTTGACCAGGTCATTTAATTTCTCAGTCCGTTAATTGCGCCAGCTATTCCAGGTAGCAGAAATTTGTTGTACTGTAAGGTGTTGGGGCTCAGAAAACACTACAAAATAAAGGCTTCAGAAGCGAAAGTTTTTCTCTGACCTTTTCCTGCCCTCTGGTCTCTCAATCCTATTTCCCCTGAGGCCAGCCATAGAAACTAGAATCCCTCTGCCCCCAGGTGGGCCATAGAAATCAGAACCCTTTTGCCCCAAAGCCAGCCATAAAACCTCCAAACATTACTCTAATTTCCCCTCTTTCTTTCTGTGTGAATCCTGGGCATAAGGAAATTATCTGAGCCACCTTGTTTGATTGTAGAAACCTCCATTACAGAGAGGGCTCTGCCCCATACCCAGAAGGCAGGAATGCTGCTCAGAAGGGCCAAGAAGAATCTAGACAGACAGACCTTCCCGGGATTCCCCACTTTATCTACTAGCATTAGATCATACCCTTTTTGCCCAATCATATTTCTACACAGCTGTCCATACTTTGTAGAATCTAAGCATAAAATTGGACAATTTCCCCTATATCTTTGGGTATTTACTCTGAAGGCTTCTGTGTATATATGTTAAGTAAATTTGTATGTCCTTTCTCTAACGAATCTGCCTCTTGTGAGTTGATTTTCCAGTGAACCTTCAGAGGGTGAAGGTGAAATTTTCCTTTTCCTCTGCAGAAGGTTTGGTGGATCCTATTTTCAAAGATTTCCCTACCCAAGATAGTTCTAAAAGTGACAGCCTGAAAACCAAAGCACCTCTATGCCTCAGCTTTTAATGAAATAAAAGAACATTTCTAGTCACAGAGGTAGAATGGAGGAAAATTAATTTTGAAATAAACTCTAGTAGTTGTAATATTTCAATACAGCAATAAAATGTTGGCAAGATGATACACTATTATGCTCTGTCTCTAACAGCTGCAAGCCCTTGGGCAAGTTATTTAACCTTCCTGGACTTCACTTTCCTCATCTCTAAAATGGGGATTGTGATATCATCTACCTCAAAGGATTGCTGTGGAGATAGAACAAGAGAGTATAAAAGTAAAGCATCTAGCACTGTATTTGGCATATAGGAGAGTTAGCTATTATTTAAATTATAAAAATACTGACTTACCCATTGGGTTCTTGATCATTACTTTCATGGATATGAGTGGCACAATTAGTATTTCTGCTTTTTCTTATCTGTAACTTTAACAGCTAGAACATTCGAGGTGGAAAAGATCTTGGAGAACTTCTGGGCAAGTCACGTTAACAGATGAAGGAAGAAGTCTCAGGCAACTGAAATAACTCACTGCACCTTAAGTCTGCAGGGTGATCTGAGAGGGGAGTATGAACAAGTTGCCGGCCAGGCCTCGTGCTATACAGTCATGGCAGGCTCCACCTGGAAGTTTCCTTAGACATCATCTCATCACCCGCTTTACTTCATATGTGAGCACACAGAGAAACAGGGAGGCTGGGTTTGTTCATTCACTGATTCACATGTTCATTGACTTAGCAATATTTATGAGCTCCTATTATACACAACACACTGGGGATTCTGCGGTGAACGAACAAGACAAGTCCTTGCTTTGTGGTGCTTATTGCTGCAAGTAGGAGAGGGCTGGGAGGCAATAAAGGATATACACATAATCAGGCTAATTTCAAATAGTGATAAGCTTCCAAAGGAGCCTGCCACAGAGTGGTGGAGATGCCTAGGGCATACACACACCTACTTCAAATTGCACAGTCAAGGAGGGCCCCTCCAAGGAGGTGTCAGCTGAGCAGCAAGAAGGACCTACCACACAAAGATCTGGGAAGCAGAATCCAGGCTGAGAAACAGCGTGCAAGGCTGTGAGGTGGAAAAGAGTTTGACAAGATTGAGGACTGAGAGGGACAGCTGCAGCAGGGAAACAGGTAGGAGAGAGGAAGATGAGATCTAAAAGGTAGGTACAGGCCAAATCTCATAGGCCTAGGGAGGTCGTGTAACCTGCAAGGATTCCATCCTTAGTGCAAGGTTTGGTTTAAGGGACTAACGCGACATGGTTTGTTTTCGGGTGTCACTCTGCTGTTTGTGAGTTACTGGCCAAGCCTGGACCACCCAGGCCTTCAGACTCACAGCCCAGCAGCGTCTCCCTCCATGCCACACAGCCTTTGATATGGATAGCAGAAAGTTTGACCACCTCCGGAAGACTCAAACAGAGCCCTACAAAAGGGAAGCCAGGTGCCAAGCTTGCTTTCTCTCTGGGAAAAAGGGCGGCCCTGGGTACTTACCCACTTGTAATGTCATCGGTCCGGATGTTCTTGCTCAGAACGTCCCCATCGCTCATGTAGCCGGGGGCGTCCATGCTGATGCCTTCCAGGTCCATCTCATCTCCTGCCTTGTCTGAGACGTCCACGTGGCAGACGCTGCTGCCCCGGGAGGCCAGCTGCCGTCTCAGAGGGGCGGAGTACACGTAGCGACCTGACTCAGTGTTGATGAACCGGCTGGCATTGGCTCGAGGGGGGTACCCATTGCCCATTGAGGGGGCATCTCCTGCTTGGAGCCGAGGGCTGGACTGGCCCAGTCTCCAGGACAGAGGTGTGGGCCTCCCTGTCAAGCTGAGTATGCTGCGGCCACTCATCTCCGTGGTGACATTGGTGTCAAATGTGGTTTCCAATGTGCTAGAAACAAAACCAACCTGATTAGACTCAAAGGTACCTAGTATCCTTCACAGTTTATATGTTCTTTAATTATTTAGAATTATGAAATAATCCTCATATATAAAATAGGATAAAACAGCTGGCCCCATGTACCACCTGGTGTGCTTCCTCTGCTCAAAATGAAAAAGGAAAGCCGCACATCTACATAACATTCTGAAAAGCCTACTGGAGACTTTCCCTGCTAAAACATGGTACAAGAAACAAATTCCTTTAATTAAATGACCTTAACTGCTAGAATTTTCTTTCCAGGCCGGATGCAGTGGCTCATACCTGTCATCCCAGCACTTTGGGAGGCCGAGGTGGGTGGATCATGAAGTCAAGAGATCAAGACCATCCTGGCCAACATGGTGAAACTGCATCTCTACTAAAAATGCAAAAATTAGCTGGGCATGGTGGCACGTGCCTGTAGTCCCAGCTACTCGGGAGGTTGAGGCAGGAGAATGACTTGAACCCAGGAGGCGGAGGTTGCAGTGAGCCGAGATTGCGTCACGGCACTCCAGCCTGGCGACAGAGAGTGAGACTCCATCCCCCTCCCCCACCCAAAAAAAGAATTTTCTTTCCATTCTGGGAAAGAAAATACTAGAAAATGCTGAGCTGATTAGGATGGGGCACGAAGGTTCCTGCTTGCCCATTCATTCTAGGATGTCGTATCACAGCCCTCTTTTCCTAAGGGTGGGATTCTTCACCCACCAGGAGTTCCTGATACCACATTTTACATCCTCAGCTCCCTCCCAACTGAGCAGTGGACACAGTTCTAATTTTGTAACCCTCTGAGGTTCACTTCCCCCAGACTTTTGCTTTTCACAGATTTCATCCAAAAAGTCTGGAAAGATTGGTAAATGCCTGGGCTTGAGTTCCCTCTTCAATCAAGTTATGAGCTCAATCTCTTGGCAGAGTCCGTCTTCCACTGTCTTCACAGCGCCGCAGTTTCTTGCAGCCTAGTCAAAACTATCATCTATACTTTCACAGGAAAACTGCAATTTCCTCACTGAGCAAAGAGAGTGAGATTCTACCCTGCAGAAGAAACCACTGAAGTCTTCCCTCCTGTCATAATTACCATCCCACCGTGAAACTGCTATGCCAACATTAAGTCAGTGTCAGTGACGACGGTGGAAAGACGGATGTTTCACACTAATGGTAGAGTCACGAGATCCAATATCTGACTCCCTTCATTCAGATACCTAAAGGTTTAAGACGGTACCACCCCCAAACCCCCGAGTTTACTCTCCTCTGGAAGAGCCAATTTGCTCCCTTAAGCTGTTTTTGTTTTCCTCTGATCTTGGAAGTGGCCTTATTTTTCTCGGATTGGACCCCTTGTTTTGGGCCTCAGTCCTACTGGAGATGGAACCCACAGTGGTTAACCCCAATCTGCCAAAACTGCTGACAGTGGAAGCCCTGTGGTTTCCTTGCCATAGCCACTTATCTAAGAAACTGAAATTGGAGAAGCAAAGGAGACTCTGTGGAAGCTCAGTGGGGACAACGAGAACTTTCCTTGACTTCCACATACTATAAAACCTCCTCCTGCCCAAATCACAAAGGACATCCCAGGGTTGCATCCTCTTCAACTTCTTGTTCAACAATGAAAGTACCTGATAAATGTTTCCAATATAATCCTAGATTTCATTCAACTAAATCGGAGTTTAAACACGATCATAAGTTTTTATAAATATTTCCTTACATGTTTTATGCACGTGCATGACTAACAATATTACAGAGTGCTGCATATCAGAAGAGTGGGTAGGAATTCAAGTTATTCAGTTTATCACACAGGTCAAATACAGTTCACCTGCTCATTTCAACAGCACCAGATAGTTTTAGAAAATGCAAGTAAAGTGAAATTTAAATAGAGCTGGTCTACAGTATCATTTGTTGAATGGATTTAGCAACCTTCTGCTTTTGGGAAAAATCTGTCTATACTAATTTTTGTTTCCTATAATTCTCTTCTGCATGTTGTATGGCATTCTTTGTGAATTCCGGCACATTTGGAAAGCGAGGCTATTGATCCATTATAACCAAATCGCTTTGCTAATGGTATGAGCAAACACAGTAGAAAATTAGCATACCAGCTAGTTCAGTAAAGTAATTCACACTGCAGATACCTGTGTGTAACCTGAGTTCCCCTTAAACTGGACATGGTTTCCTCCAAATTCTGCCGCAGATCAGCGATGTTCTTCACTGTCCGCAGCCGCCGAGCCTCAGGATCTTCCCCTGGAAAGACGAGGGTTAAGATTAGTTTAATTCTCTGACCAACCCTGAGCTTCATAAGGGCAGCATCCATGTCTGTGACCATAACTATACTCAGTATGTGCCTCGCTGTGGGTGCTTAATAAGGATTTGGGAATGAATGAATGATTGAATGGAAGTGTGAATGGAAACCCAAAGGAAGTGTGAAGTCCAAGGAGATTCTTCCTTCAGGTGCCTCCTTAAATAGGTGAAGTCTAGCGTGTGGGAGAAGTCAAGTGCCTAGTCTGAGATGTAAACACATTTCCACAGTGTCTCCAGCAGAGACACGCTCAGATTAAGTCCGACCAGGTAGTCATTTTCTGCCCATGCAAAAATGAGTGGAGCATTTTGTTTGTTCACCTATTGGTGATATATGCAGCTATCTTAGGCCCTACTTTGCAAGGATAGCTTGCAGTAGCTAGAAGATCTGCACCTGTTAATCACAAATATTTATACAGAGAAAGATTGCTTTCTTCATTGTTAGATGTATTATGTCACCTCAAATTCAAGCTCCTCTACTTACTGGCTGTGTGACTGTGGGGAAGGTGCTGGTCCTCTCTGTCCTTCAGATTTCACTTTTCTAAAAGGAACACAGTGGTAGTACTGACCTCAAAGGACATTTGTGGGGACAAACTGGGATCAAGCCGGGATTTCCCTTAGCACAGTGCTCACCATAAGCACTCAACACAAGCCAGCTGGTGCTCTAGAGCAGGGAGCCTTCAAGAAACAGCTGGGGGCCGGGCGCAGTGGCTCACGCCTATAATCCGAGCATTTTGGAAGCCAAAGCAGGTGGATCGCTTGGGCCCGGGAGTTCAAGACCAGCCTGGGCAACATGGCAAAACCCCATCTGATGGCATACACCTGTAGTGCCAGCTACTCTGGAGTCTAAGGTTGGACGATGTCTTTAGTTTAGGAGGCAGAGGTTGCAGTCAACCAAGATTGTGCCATTGCAATCCAGCCAGGGTAACAGAGAGTGAAGGGAGGAAGGGAGGAAAGGAGGAAGGGAGGAAGGGAGAAAGGGAGAAAGGAAGGGAAGGGAAGAAAGGAAAGAAGGAAATGAGGAAAGAAAGAAGAGAAAGAAAGACAAGAAGGCAAGAAGGCAAGAAAGCAAGCAAGCAAGCAAGCAAGAAAAGACAGACAGCCAGTCAGTCAGACAGAAAAGAAAGTAAAGAAAGAAAAGAAGAAAGGAAAGAAAGGGAAGGGAAGGGAGATAGAAAAGAAAAGGAGAAAGGAAAAGTGAAAGGGAAGGAAAAGAAAAGAAAGAAAAGAAAAGAAAAATGGAAAGAAAAGAAAAGAAAGAAACAGACAGCTGGGTTCCTCTTTGTTAGGACCACAGCCTTCCATTCCCTGGGCAAAACTTTCCAGAAGACACTTGGCTGAGCAGCATTTGAGCTGACCTGGCACTAGTGTACCATGAGAAATATGCCACACACAAGCTAGGACACAGCGCAGTCTTGTTTTGGGTTCTCTGGCAATTCCATTTCATTTTTTTGAGACAGAGTCTTGCTCTGTCGCCCAGGCTAGAGTGCAGTGGCACGATCTCAGCTTACGGCAACATCCACCTCCTGGGTTCAAGCGATTCTTCCGCCTCAGCCTTCTGAGTAGCTGGGATTACAGGTGCCTGCCACCACACCTGGCTAATTTTTTTGTTGTTGTTTTTAGTAGAGACGAGGTTTCCTCATGTTGGCCAGGCTGGTCTCGAACTCCTGACCTCAGGTGATCCTCCTGCCTTGGCCTCCCAAAGTGCTGGGATTATAGGCATGAGCCACCGCACATGGCCTAGTTCCATTCATTTTAGCCTTACAATGGGAGGAGGAGAGGGACAATAACTATAATAATTATTAATAGAATTATACATTTTCTCCCTCAGAGTAATTTTAGGGACAGCTGAGAAGACTGAAGAAGCACAAACATGGGTCTTTAAAAGCCTAGGACTATTTTCAAGTGTTGAGCAATATTTTCAAAGAAATCTCCATCTAGAACATAGCACAAGTGGAATTTGCATTAGACACGAAGCAGCAGCAAGTACAACTGACATCAGACACCAGGTTGAACTTCCAACAATTGTCATTAACAGGGGACTGGGCAGCTAAGAAATGTAATAGAATTAACTTTTCTTCTGAGATAGATGACAACTTCCTTAGGTTATTCGTGGCATGGCGGTGCCTGGAGGCTGGGATGGAGTAAATGACATACCATGATTTCATGGAGGAAATTTACTTGAAAATGCAAGTGCTTTCCAATTTCTCCTTCCACCTTTTAACCCAAGGAAATTTGGAAGGCATTTTTCTCTTATCTGAAAAGTGGCCAAACTTGCATTTCCCTCCCAGTGCTTTAAAATACATATATATGTATGTGTTTTTAAACAAAAGCAAAGATGAATGTCTATTATACCTTCCCCTAATGACTTTGGAGGAATGTAACTGCATCTACCTTCTGGGCTATCAGTGAAATCTTTTCCTGCCAATTTGGCCACATTTTATGTACATGAGCCTGCTAAAAAATATTCTTAGGTTAGCTCTAGGCCCTTTAGAAAACATCGATTATCAGGCTAAATCTAGGCATAGGTTTACAAATTACCTCAACTAATTACCTTAACCACACACACAAAATATAGTAACCATATTTACTTATCCATCACTCTATTAATGGTCTTAACCCACCATTAGAAATTCAACTATTCCTTTCCGGCGGTGACGACCTACCCACACGAGAACATGCCTCTCGCAAAGGATCTCCTTCATCCCTCCCCAGAAGAGGAGAAGAGGAAACACAAGAAGAAACGCCTGGTGCAGAGCCCCAGTTCCTACTTCATGGATGTGAAATGCCCAGGATGCTATAAAATCACCACGGTCCTTAGCCATGCACAAACGGTAGTTTTGTGTGTTGGCTGCTCCACTGTCCTCTGCCAGCCTACAGGAGGAAAAGCAAGGCTTACAGAAGGATGTTCCTTTAGGAGGAAGCAGCACTAAAGGCACTCTGAATCAAGATGAGTGGGAAACCATCTCAATAAACACATTTTGGATAAAAAAGAAAGAAAGAAAGAAATTCAACTATTTTGTTTTATTTTTTAGAGACAGAGTCTTGCTCTGTTCCTCAGGCTGGAGTGCAGTGCTGTGATCATAGCTCAATGCAGCCTCAAACTCCTGGGCTCAAGCAATCCTCCCACCTCACCCTCCCATGTAGCTAGGGCTGCAGGGATGCACCGCAATGCCTGGCTAATTTGTTTTCTTTGCAGAGACGGAGTCTTCTATGTTGCCTGGGCTAGTCGCAAACTCCTGGCCTCAAGCAATCCTCTCGCCTTGGCCTCCCAAAGTGCTGGGATTACAGATATAGCCACTGCACCCAGACAGAAAGTCAAAGATCTTTGAGTTGGGGATGGTGTCTCATCTTTCCTTTTGGTAACCCCCACACAATTTATAGAGGTCTGAGAAATGTTTATTATGCAACACATGTTTGGTCAGTGTGCAGTTGAAGGAAAGCATGGACTTCACATTTCCACAGATAAATATTTGAATTGTGGCAGTGCTGTGTATTAACCACTTGACCCTAGATCTCATTTGTAAAATGGACATAAAAACCCTTTGCTAGAAGGGTTAGAGTGAGAGTCAGATGAGATGGCACACAGCACAAAATGAGGATTCAGGAAATGTGAGTGTCCTGTTTTCCTCTTGTGGGTCCTGCTGGGAAATATTTGCCCTCCTCCAGGGTGCTACATCAGACCCCAAGGGTAATATAAGAACACAAAACAGTAACCCACCTGACATGCTTAGGTGATCACATTCGGAACTGCCAATTATGCCTCTTCTGACAATGACCTGAATGTAGGATTTACCCACTAACTCACAGCCTGAACACAATAAAAACACAATTGAGTTCCAGTGGAAACAGCTGGGAGCTCTCAGCTCATAGATTCTGAGAGGTCTTAAAAATTTAGTGTCTACCTGTAGCGATCTGGACTTTGCCAACGATGCTCAAGCCACTAGTCATGATTGGGAGAGCATCACATTGCGACCAAATATGACTGAGTTTGGAGGATATCAAGGTGTTACAAAAGGACCATGGAAAAAATCCAGGATTTTTACTTGGAAATAAAGAAACCTTAAGGGATATGTTATAACATGAAAAAGAATGAAAACTGTCTGGGGCTTCAGAAGGCTGAATTATGTCTGGTGATTGGAAATCTAAGAATAAAGAACTCCATTAACTGACGAAGCCGTCAACAACAGCAAAAAAATAAAGGGCTGCCTTATGAAGGAACAACATTTTGTCCAAGAAATATTTAAGCAGAGGCTGAAAGATAGTCACCAGCAAGCTTTAGAAGGAATTCATGAGCAGGATGATAAGCAGGTGTGTGTGATTCCTTCAATTCTATCATCCAAGATGCATTTTTCAACTATAATGCTCTATACATGATCACACACCATAAGAAAACCCACCCATTTGCATAAGTAAGGGAAAGAACCAAGCGATTGATCAAATAGTTATAAATGTCCATTTCTAAATAGTCCTACCATTCACTGTCATTTCAAAGGATTGGCTGTGGGTAAGTTAAATTCAACGTCATGCTATTTATTATTCAGTCTCTCCATAAAAAAATTCAACATAGTCACAAGTATGATTTCTACTGCTTGAATATAAAGACATGTCACCCTGATAAGGAATTTTCATTAGTGACCAACCCCATTTGATTTGACACCAAAGAGTGAATAGTCAAGCACTACTGGCTGCACAAGTCTTTTCCCCAAAGCCAACTGACAGCATCTCAGGGTTTCTGAGTTCTTAAGGCTCGGTACAGTGGAGACATGGAGATAAAAAGAAAAATTAGGGGAAGATCACATACTGCAATCTGTCACTCTGAAATCTAAGTAATATTTGGAATATTCTCTGGCTCCTGCTTTTGCTTTTCCAATGTGGATTTTGCTGAGACTCAATGTCTGACAGGAATCCACACCACTCCACGAGCCACATATCTGAACCATGCTGGGATCTGAAGCGTTGGCCTCGTTCTTTTGATGTCTGCACATCAGAACACAATCTGGAATGTACATGGAGACTTGAGCAGTCATCTGAACTCCACACCCTTCTCATTGCTGGTCCTTTTCCTATGCTATCCATGTACTCACATGCAAGACAGCTACAAACCTCGAAGAGAAGGAAACAAAATCAATCCCAAATGTGGGGCCCGAATCATTCTAAGATGGATTGCTTACAAATGGCTTGAAGAATCTCTGCACCGTCTCTGTGCCCAGCCAGTGGAATCAGAAGGAAATAGATCACCCAGATCCTCTGAAATTAATTGTTGGGGCTAATTGCGAGATGGGTAAGGTTCAATCACTGGGCTGCAGAGCAATTCCACAGCTGTAATGTGGCTATTAAAATGCTGTAGTCAGGGATATTCAGTTTAATAAATAGATTTTAAGCATGGATTCAGTTTTTAACTCGACTGTGGAAGTGGTAAGATATGAGAAGAGTGACACAGCCACTAATAAATCAATGGCTTACCACTCACTTCCCTGACTAGAAGTTGCTGGAGCATGGGACACAGAGTTGGGGAATGGGGAAAAGAGACAGAGAAGATGGCAGCTTGGAATCCACTGTAGTAAGAATACTAATTAAGGTGTGACTTTTCTTCTTTAATTAAGAATGTGACAGTATAGTGTCCATAAATAAATGCTTATAGAATTAACTATACGACGACTGTGGATTTTATGCTGTCATACAGTATAATGTTCTTGTAATCATCATTGTCTATGTTACAATTAAATAAAATTTACATTTCTTTTTTTGTTTCTGGTAAAAAGAAGCATGTTACAATTTTTCCCCCCAATTCATGTAGGACTCTAAGAACACATTTTAAATCAGTGCTTCTATACACGAACGAAATCCACTATTCTAAATCTTGTTGAAAAGCAACTTTATCTGAAGAGTAAACAAGAAGATTCAAAGTTAAGTATCAGTGGAGTCCAGAGCCCCTAAATGAATAAAATTGAATATATCTTAAAAACAGGATTTGCACACCAGTAAGAGATTTGTTTACAATTCTGGGGAGGAGGGAAGAAACTGTAAGAGGGAGAGTAAAGGGAAGAAAAAGAAGAAGAAAACTAATAGGAAACAAAAAAGAAAGAAAGTTTGTTTAGCTCAAAGTCAATGCAACCATAACGCAACTTGTAATCAAGCTGGGTTCATGCTGTTCCAGCAGGTATTGCATGGAAGGCCTCATCACCAACAGACACAGATTTCTGGGGCTCCATACTCACCAGTGAGTTCTTCCAGAGCAGGCTGTCCAGTCTTGGTGAAGTGGCTGGGCTCCATGCTCACACCTGTTGAGCCTGACTCGGCGGTAACATTCCCTTCAGTGTCCGTCTGAGACCTTCACACACAAACCAAAGCAGACATACTTGTCATGAGAGGCAACTACCACGTCTGGACCACTGTGGTCTAACCACAGCCCTCACCATTACCTCCTATAGCAAGAAGCTTCAGAACAGAGCGGACAAGCGGACTGACGCTAAATAATTCATTAGCCGTATGTGGAGCAATGTCCTAAGAACAGAGAGAGCCATCGAACTGTAAAAGATAAACTTCTCATTGCCCAGATGGAGAGTCTGTAATCCCTCACTGGGGAGTGCTTCTCTGAACCTCCCTCAGGATGCCAGGTCTAGCCAGACACACGCTGGAGGGTACTAGGTGGTTTGGATAATTTAACCTATGCCAAAGAACAACTTCTAAGTAACCAGCAACGCCAACAAGTCAAACATAAAGATGACTCTATTAACAGCACCCCCACCCCAAAATCATCCTGACATGGTTTTCTCTATAAAGGTGACCATAAAACCAGTTGGAAGTGGGTGCCAAGCAGGTGTGTTTGCCCTCCAGGTCTCTGATTCAGAGCTCAGTTCTTCTGACATGAAAGGTCTCCTTGATCATTATTTCAACACTCGACTGAAATCTGTACTTCCCCAAACCCTCTCCATGCCCTTATTTGTCAAGCAAATTGAAGCAACGGCTTCATGCAATGTTTTCTTGTCACAGCTACCTCTGCTCATTCAGGCATGGCACGTAAATGCATAATTACACTCAGATGCATGACCCTGCATGTAACATTATTAACGCACTGGCATCCTGAACTAATTCAACCGATTTTACTATCTGTGAGGAAAACGTTTGCCAAGAATGAGAATGGACGATGGGGGATGTACTGATAAACCTCAAGTCATCCAACCGTTCTTCCCTCCTTTTTTCTTCCTACTGAGGCCATTGTTCTCAATTGTTATATTTGCCTTTAAAGGATTTCATAATGCCTGTGCTCCTTTCACCTCCAGCCAGGGTCCAAGCCCTCTTCATTTCTACTGAGGCCTTAAGAGTGCTTTGAAACAGGTACCTCACACCTAGAGGTTGCAAATGGCAGCCCAGTATGGAAACCAGCCCAATTTATTCCTACTGGCCTGCATAATATTTTAAAGTTTTAAAATTAGTTCAACATTTAAAAATTGGGATATTTCACAATAAATATCTGGATTTCTGCCTTCGTCCAGTAAAAACAATAAAGCCTGGGAAAGACAGAGCCTTTGTTACTGTAGATCGCCACCTGCTGGTGCCAAGTGGTGGCTGCACCCTCTAAAGAGGTGTGGCTCCCTCTGCCACAGCCTCGCTCACCCTGAGCCACCCATCTAGATGACCATTTAGAGGCCAATTAGGCAGCTGAATCTGTGATCTCCATTCTACACTCTCCCTAAGTTTGGTCTACTCCCCACACGATTCCTCACTGACTTCTGTAAAACTTACGTGATGACATCACCGTCTTCAGTGGTTTCCATTACCACAGAACAAGGTCTAAACTCCTTATTGTGGTAGACGATGGCCACCTTCTTCCTTTATTTCCAGCCCCATCACCTGCCTTTCTAACCCTTTACATACAGCTCTACTATGCTCCGCCCACATGTGGCTTCTGTCCACATGCCTTTAACAGGTTTATCTTTGTAGTAACTACAACCTCTCTGCCTAAAGGCCCTTCTCCTCCTTCCTTAGTTCACTCCTAATCTGTCTTTAAGATGGAGCTTCCATGTCATCTTTGCCTGACAGCCTTCCTTGACTCCTTGCCAGGAGTTCCTGTAGCACTCTCCTTATCCTCTTGTTGGCTAAAATGTGATCCTATAGCACTCTCCTTATTCTCCTGTTGGCTAAAATGTGATCTAATAAGTAAATCTTTCCTCAATTAGATTGAGAGCTCTCCAGAGGCAAAGGTTAGTTCAAGTTCATATGCTGCACAGGCAACACAATCAGGGCGTGTTGACTGGATAAATAAGAAATGTTTAAGTCTCAGAAGATGCTAGGTACTAGAAGGAACATTAGACTTGGAAGTCTAAATATTTGACTAGCTCCAGGTCTAAGATCTGTAACTTGTTAGCATGCAAATTTGAGTTAAGTCACTTCATCTCTTTGAATCTCAGCATCCTCATCTGTACAATGGGGATAATAATAGCAACCTCCTCTGGTTCTATAAAAATCAAAGGTGGCCGGGCGCGGTGGCTCAAGCCTGTAATCCCAGCACTTTGGGAGGCCGAGGTGGGCGGATCACGAGGTCAGGAGATCGAGACCATCCTGGCTAACACGGTGAAACCCCGTCTCTATTAAGAAATACAAAAAACTAGCCGGGCGAGGTGGCGGGCGCCTGTAGTCCCAGCTACTCGGGAGGCTGAGGCCGGAGAATGGCGTGAACCCGGGAGGCGGAGCTTGCAGTGAGCTGAGATCCGGCCACTGCACTCCAGCCTGGGCGACAGAGCGAGACTCCGTCTCAAAAAAAAAAAAAAAAAAAATCAAAGGTATGTGACACACAACTCTTAGTAAACTATAAAGTGATAGAGGGGTCTACTGTACTTCTGAATTGATAAATATAATTCATTCTGAGTGATTTTTTAAAAAATGACCCATCTTCCCTTTACTCCTTGGTAACAACTTTAACATGGAGAGGTTTTGCTGGGGGGAGCAATTATAAGTTATATATAGTGGACCATAAGCTTGAGGGAGAGAATGTTAGAGCAGAAAAGGAGAATAAACTAATTTATAGAATCTAATCTAATCCAAACTTCTCACTTTCCAGATGAAGACAATGAAGATAAAGTGATTTAGAGTCAAGACTGGTGGTTAAGAGCCTGGTCTCACTAGTTAGACAGACTTGGCTTTTTGTTTGTTTGTTTTTGAGACAGAGTCTCGTTCTGTTGCCTAGGCTGGTGTGCAATGGCGTGATCATGGCTCACTGCAACCTCCGCTTCCCAGGTTCAAGGGATTCTCATGCCTCAGCGTCCTGAGTAGTTGGGACTACTGGTGTGTGCCACCTCGCCAGGCTAATTTTTGTATTTTTAGTAGAGATAGGGTTTCACCATGTTGGCCAGGCTGGTCTTGAACTCCTGACCTCAAGTGATCCGCCCACCTTGACCTTCCAAAGTGCTGGGATTTCAGGTGTGAGTCACCATGCCCAGTCCACACTTGGTTTTAAACATGAGCTCCTCTAGTCTAATTCTGTGACTTGGGGCAAATTGTGTAATTTACCCCTAAGCTGCTAGCTCATGGAGGTGTGGGAAGAATGAAGTGAGCTAAGAGGTAGAAAGCCCTTAGCAGACTCTCTGCCCACACTCGATCAATAACTGTTCCTTCAGCTGGTACCCAAGACCTCAGAAGGAACCAAGGGCTGATAAAGGACAAGGCCCAGGTGTCCTGATTTCTATCCTGGTGCTCTTGGTTCCAGCGTCACTTCCCAGACTCCCCTAAAGATGAAGGCACCTGAGAGGGGACAGAAGGACGTTACCCAGAGCGGGTATTAACATAAAAACGGGGCTAGTCAGATCCACATCCTAGACATTTTCCTCTTCCTCCTCTTTGTCAGACTTTTGCTCTTTATCATTAAGACTTTTCTTCTGATAGAAAACCTTGAAATAAAAAGAGGTTATATGTTTTATAATCTTTCAAATTATAGCGAACAACAAAAAAAGAAGGAATGGGATTGATGGTGATCAAAGACTGTCATATTTTAATTTTGAAAATGCAAATACAGAATCTGTGAATCTTGAATATGTATTACCTCAAGACTAATAACGCTACTGGAATTATAAAAATTTCATGTGGAGCTATTCAGTTGCCTCCATACTTCAGAGAACAATTGTATTAAAAGCAGTTCATGGCTGGGCGCAGTAGCTCATGGCTGTAATCCTAGCACTGAGCTCAGGAGTTCAAGACCAGCCTGGGCAACATGGTGAAATCCTTTCTCTATTAAAATTAAAAAAAAAAAATTAGCTGGGTGTGGTGGCATGCACCTGTAGCCCCAGCTGAGGCATGAGAATTGTTTGAACCTGGGAGGTGGAGGTTGCAGTGAGCCGAGATGGTGCCACTGCACTCCAGCCTTGGCGATAGAGCGACACTCCATCTCAAAAAAAAAAAAAAACCACAAAAAACAAAAACAAAACAAAAGCCGTGTGTGTAGACCAGCTGAGTCATTATCTAAGCCCTGGTGCTCTTCTCAGGATTGTGAGCTGAGCTGATGACTTGATTCAATAAAGTGAGACCTTCTCCCAATTAAAAAGATCAGCACGACCCTCACTGAAGGAGAATGCAAGCAGAATAAAAGGAAGGAGCACAATGCCTGACATTCTTTTGCTGGCCTAGTGCTGGCTGGCTTTCCTTTGAAAGCACTTAAGCCAGTCCCTCCACCAGCTATTGGCAGGAACTGTAACAGAGCCCACTGGAACACAGCTCAGGAGGAAAGAGGGAATATCACATTCTTTGGGGAATCATACAAACATAGCAAGCTGAGAGTCTGGGCATGCACCTATGCACCTGAACAGGTATATAAATACATGTATGCATATGTGCCTCTGCATTTCATGTATGAATGTATACTTCTGTTCATACTTATATGTGACTTTTAATGTGTGTCCACATGTATGGCGGTATCAGTGTGAGTGTACAGTTGTGCATCTGTATGCACTTGAGTTACAACCATAAAACATGTGTCTAGAATGTGACACTTGATCATTAATCCTCTTTTGTGTGTACGAGTATTAGTTATCCAATTGTGCAGTGTGGCCAAATGCACTGCTCATCTCCAGCACAGGACGGAGTTGGGCACTGTCAGTGAAAGCTCTGGGAATTATAAGAACTTTAAGGGCAGGGGCCGGGGAGCTTCCATCTGCCTGGAGTGGACTCATCCACGTGTATGACACAGCCCCTGGAGCCCGCATGCCGCATTCAGTAAGAGGCGTGTTGTAGCCTGAGCAACAAGCTATGTCGCTGGCCAGAATCACACAGAGCAGCAGCACCACAGTGTGGACTGGCTCCACACAGTCTCTCATGGTCCTGAGGATGTGCCATCAAAGAGAAAGGGGCTGGGGGACAGATAAGGACAGAAGGATCCGTCCATCACCACAAACACCCAGGCTTATCTCCTCAGAACATGAGCTCTTCTGTTCTTCTAGAACCGGCCCCTTCCCTACCATTACTCTTCTCCCTCATGTCCCTCTCCCTTCAGAAAGCCCCAGCATGCAGCAGGGACTGCGAGGATCTGAATGTTCAAGGCAATCTCTGCTATAAGAAATCTTAGTTATTGAGCCAGGTGTTTCTTATTTTATTTATTTTTTAAATATGTTGGGATGTGTTAGGACTAATGCTGGAGCCTGTCGGGTGACACCAAACCGCCCCCACCCTCATATTTAGGCCTTCATGCTTTCTGCTTAGGGAAGCTGCTGCTACAAGGCCTGGGGTCCCCATATTCCTATGCGTCCTGGGATCAGCTCACATTTTACTTCCCTTCTTCAGCTTTCTCTGTTCCTCCCCCAACCTGTGCTGTATGAACTGCTCCCTGGAGCACATTGTGTCTGCTTCTCTTAGGAGCTTATCACATGGTTTCTTAGCTATTGACTTACATATTCCTGGAGCACAGTCTAGCTCCTGCCCTCACAGACCTGCAATCCACTAGATAGGATCTTTTACCCAACGTCCCAGGCAGCACAGGTGGGCGGCAGCTCCTACCTGTACAGGAAAGGTGCGACCGTGGCAGTGTTGGGATGGTTGTATTGCTGCTGGGGCTGAGGTAGCTGAACACTGACGGTATTGCTTCCTGTGGTCTGGGTGGTCCCGATGGACCCACTGACGGTCTGGCTGCTGATGCTGTGGTTCAGGGTGGTCCCTCCTGGGCCTTTTCCTTCTGAGGACGCCAGGCTGGAAGAGGAACTGGAGTGTCTGCCGTCCAGCTGGGGCTTCTGCTGGGGGAGCCCTGAACTCGGCTTCCCACTCCGGCTCCGCTCCCCTTCCTTGGAAGGCGCTGGGGCACTTGGGGATTTCCCGGGCATGCTCTTCATTCCTGGTTTTGGTATTCCACTGTGGGAAGGGGCCATGGGCTCCTTCTTGGCACTGTTGAGCTTCCCCCCTTTGGGGATGAAGCTGGCGATCTTGGAGGACTTTTTTGGCATCTCGGGCAAGGCTGCTCCACTGGGGTCTTCTTTTGGCTCCTCCTTAAGGTCCAGCCTCTCCGTCACAGAGGCTCTCTTGGCAAGGTCCTTGCTTTTCTCCTTATCCTTCTCCCGCTGTTGTTTCTCCTTCTCTTTCTCATTGCCTTTCGGAGAACTCTTCTTGTTGGTCAGCGCCCGGCTAAAAGTCCTCTGGGCAATGCCCTTGAGTGCAATCTTAGGGCTGCTGGAAGCAGGGCCCACGGTGGTGAGCATGCGACTGGCGGCCTCCAGCTCCTCGCTCTCTTCGAAGCTGGGCAGAGTCTCCAGCCGCTCACAGCTTGTGTCCCGGGACCCCGGGCCCTCACCTGCCTTTGAGCCCCCTTTGCTGTTGAAAAGTTTCAGCTTTTCCAGCATGGACTTCTGATTGTTGGGGGCTGGCTTCATGGCTTCAGGTGTGGGCCTGGGAGCCTCAGGCCCAGGAGACTTGACTGAGAGCATGGATACCGTGGCACTGTGCTTCACGCTGAGGGATTTGCTGCGCCAAGGCTTGGTGGCTGCACCGGGCTGCGGGATGGCCGAGGAGGTGCTGTAATTCGTAGGGGTGGAGCTGCTGCCGCTCTCCAAGGAAGCAGGTGCATTGTCACTCATTCCGGGGTGGGAGGAGGCTGAGCTTGCCAAAGGCTCTGCAGAGACAGAAGAGAGGAGGCCTGAGTCACACCTGTTGACCTGCACTGAAGATCAGGGAGGGTCAGCCATGGCCACACAACCAATCACTCCCAACCCAAATGCTGTATAGCTCCATTGCCCACTTTGTGGATTATCTGTGGTTAGGTTTTAATTCCTGGCTTGACTTCCTCCTGCTTTCGGTATGGCACAGTTCACATCCCCCCGACCCCATCACATTTTGGTGGCATGTGCCACGCAAATGTATGAGGGTCTTAACAAATCTTAACAGATACCTGCACCATTAATATAGCCAGTGCAGGAAAGAGTAGGAAATACCTACCGTTTTCAATTATTCATCCCATAGTCTATTTCCCAATTATGGGAAAGAATCAAGAATTATCCAACTTTAAGCAAACAATGTATCAGAGACACTAAAATACAACAATTACAAAAACAGAAAAGGAGGAGAAACCATGTAGAATCTTTAAAAAAGAATAATTACACACAAAAGTTGTTAATGCCTATTAAAGCATGTAAGTTTTTCCTATGCTGGCACTTTTAAAAAGCTGCAAATGGGTGCACTGGCTCACACCTGTAATCCCAATACTTTGGAAGGCCAAGGCGGGCGGATTACCTGAGGTCAGGAATTCAAGACCAGCCTGGTCAGCATGGTGAAACCCAATCTCTTCTAAAAATACAAAAATCAGCTGGGTGTGGTAGAGCATGCCCGTAATCCCAGCTACTTGGGAGGCTGAGGCAAGAGAAGTGCTTGAACCTGGGAGGCAGAGCTTGCAGTGAGCTAAGATCACGCCACAGCACTCCAGCCTGGGCAAAAAGAGTGAGACTCTGTCTCAAAACAAAAAAAACAAAACAAAAAAAAACAAAAAAAACCAAAAAAAGTTGCAAACATGGTTCAGGTTTGACTTAAAAACAAAAAAACTTTTTTTTTTTTTCTCTCTAGAGTGTAATCTATGCACATGGCTCCACTGTGGGCAAGAAAACACACAGGTTATCTGAAAGTCGAGGCTTCCCCTTGGCTCTCAGTGAGTATTTCCCTGGCCAGACTCTTTTCTCAGAAAAGCCTCAAAATATTTCCAAACTGGAGCCAGAATCGTTCTAGTGAGGGCAGGCTCCAAACTAACGGCTAGTCACCAAGGTGGCCAATGTGACAGAAATGGAAACTGCAGCACCCTTCTTCCGTCAGTGCCCGGGATGATGCAGCCTCTCTCTCAAGGAAGGACAGCTGTTGGAGAGAAAGTGCCAGGCAAGGCACGTCTCCACTGGGCCCTGTGCCCACACCCACCCATACCCCATGCCCAGTGTGCACAGCAGACAGGACACACCCCTTCAGCCCCCCCAAAAGCACCTCTGCATCTGCAAAGTCACAATGACATGACTTACCTAGCAGCAGCCACTTTCTCCTGCAATGATTCCCTAGGAAAAATCCTCCAACCGGAGAGGCTGCCCTTCCAATTGTCACAAGTGTTTTCGGTTAAACTGCTCATGTTTCTAATTAACTTTTGTCATCCACAACTATTCCAGTGCCCAGAAGCCTGGCGGGATTAACGGCTGCTTCTTCTGCCTTTTTTTTTTTTTTAATACCTATGTTCCACTGCCTTCTAGCAACAGAGTAAACTGTATATAGAGCGGCTTATTATGATTTAAAAGTCAACGGCTGCTAAAGCTGAGTGAAGGCAGCCCCTGTGTGGGGCGTGAGCACCGTGCCGTGAGAGCTCACAGCAGAGGAACTGCCTCCTTTCACTCTCAGCTGCTCGGGGAAGCCACAGCTCCAGGGTGATCCAAAGCAGACCTCCCAATGTTTTAAAACACATATATCTTCCTGACTTACTGGGGATTTGGGTTTGGAGGGAGGGTGCCTCACAATCCTCCCTAACAAAACTCAAGGGGTGTTGTTGGATCTCTTCCTGGGGAGAGCCAGAGACTGGCTTGGAATCAGGCTCAGAGAACCCACCCACACTGCCGGCCTGTTAGAAGGTTGCTACGGGCTTGACGCTGCCCATAGGTGGCCTGCTCGGTATCAGGAGGCTCAGTGCTCAGCACATTGTGAAAAGGGGTTCCTGTGCCTATTTTAAGAGTGAGGAAACTGAGACTTAGGTAGGGCTAAAGAATAATTCTAAATTACACAGCCAGAAATGCAGACATCTGGGATTTGAACTCAGGTCTCCTGACATGGTATCATACCTACCTCCTTTGATGAAAAATACACGTAAACAGCCACTTAAACATCAAGAGCACTTTTAGGAACTGCCCTTTCTACTAGCTTATGTATGTTCATGACATCCATGGTGGGGTACAAACCAACCCTGCCATTTGAAATAAAGCAGCCTACATCACAGAGGATGGCTCTCTGGCTGAAATAATAGTGAATCCACCAATCCTGAGTACCACTCCTCCTAGGAAAACGGTCTTTCCCTTCACCTGAACTCAGATCTGGGGCAGATGTAAAGTTTTCATTCATTCATCCAATATATTCATTCATATCTATCTATTCATTCAATGAGCTCCTAATATGTGTCAGATACTGTTTTAGGTACTTGGGATCCATCTGTGAAAAACCAGAAATCTCTGCCTTTATAGAGTTCACATTTTAGCAAGAAGGAGCAGATAATAAATTTAATTAAATAAACTATATTATTTGTTAAAAATTAGTGCTAAAGAAAAGGATGGGGGATTTAGGGGCAGGTTGTAACACTGTCCTTATAGGAACTACAAGATCATGTTCAAAGGTATGTTCCTCTTTCCTAAAGAAGTTTTAGGCATAGTCCCCATCTGTGTCTGGATCAATGTGATCTTGCTACTTGGAACTACTCTGAGGCTTGCTCAGAAATGGACGTCTCTACTATCATTTCTATTTTTTTTTAACACTAACAATCACAGCTAGAAATCAACCAACTACGTAGCTAATAACTGACCAAGAAGAAAACAGATACTTGGCTTGTCTTGGTGAAACAGCCATCTGAGACCCTCAGGCCTGGTTTATATCACAAGGCATTTTCCCCTACTGTGTGCTTCACTAGGATTCTGTCCATACCTCTTCCATAGGATGATTTTGGAGGACCAGCTACTTTATACAATGCTCTGGGAACACAGAGTTGAATAAAGCTCCTGCCCTCTAGGAACTCACTGTCTCAGGGTGCAATGGACTTCAAAACAAACCACGAAAACAGTATAAAAAGTGGTAGAGGGCTCTACGAGGTGCTATGAGAAGCGGAGAATTAGTAGCCTCTAGTAATTCTCCCTGAAGAGTTTGAGAAAACTTCCTGGAGAAGTGATCCTTGTGTTATTACATGGTGCTTCTGCTAAAGGTCGGTTATTCCCCTGGTCTGGGATTTCCTCCAGGACAGAGACTCCCCTCCCTGACTCATCTTTGTGTCCTAAAACCTGCTGGAGCATAAAGATACTTAGCAACTGGCTTCTGAATTGCTGGTTGATAATTTTGACATTTGCAAGTCATATTTAAGGCCACAGAGATGTGGGATATGTGATGAGTCTTTAGGGTTTTATTAAAACTCTTCAGCCTACACTCAGGAAAAAATTCAGATTAAAACTCAGAGAATCAGAATTTCTATGTGGTATTTAGTCTGGGCTCCTCTGGTTATTAAGCCATGGGGCATTTCAAGGCTACTCATTACAACTACAAAAGGTAGCACCTGGGTATGATTCTGAATTTGGTTTCTAGAGCAGAAGTCTTGAGTGGGGCTAGAAAGGGGACATCTGAGGACCAGGTCATCAATATTCTACACTCATGTCACAGTCAGAAGTCCCCTATGTCGTGAAGGATATGTCAAGTCATGAGTGGTCTTGTACAAAGTAACTTGATACATTTCTATCATTCCTAGGATATCATACCAGTGATCTCAGAGCTTGGCTAAGTGGCTGCTTGGGGCCTGTTCCTCTCTCTGTCCATTTTTCTTTTCTTTCTTTTTTGTTTTTTGAGATGGAATCTCACTCTGTCACCCAGGCTGGAGTGCAGCGGCTTGATCTCGGCTCACTGCAACCTCCACTTCCCGGGCTCAAGTGATTCTCCAGCTTCAGCCTTACAGACGAGTGCCACCAACACCTGGCTAATTTGTATGTGTGTGTGTGTGTGTGTGTTTTTGTAGAGATGGAGTTTCACCATGTTGCCCAAGCTGGTCTCGGACTCCTGAGCTCAAGAGATCTACCCACCTCAGCCTCCCAAAGTGCTGGGATTACAGGTGTGAGCCACTGCACCTGGCCTTCTTTGTCCATTTCTAATCCTGGGGTCCTATGACTCCTACCATGAAGCTTTCCTCAACAGGATTCTCAGACAGTAAGCTAAACAAAGAGGAGGTGCAGGTGGGTAGGCTGGACCTCGAACTTTGTCCCCAAATCATGGCATGATCCTAGATATGACATTTTGCCTCTCTTGGCTTCAGTTGCCCCATTTGTTAGAAAGAGGATGAGCTATTTCTCTAGTGTTCTTTTAGCCTTGTTTCTATTCAAATCTGGGCAAGCCTCTGAGAGGCCCTCTGCGGCTGGGTGATTTCCAATCTTGATGGAGAAAACTGGCTGGGTCAAGGTATGGTCAACATTAGATGAGCTGCTTGTGAATTCAGAAATGCTAGTATCCTATGAAAACCAGTTTGGGGGAAGGGGGTGGGATGAGTTCTTCAAAATGAAAAGCACTTATTTCCCTGATAACTAACAACTTTTGTTATTTCCCTCAAATATCTGAACCTTTGTTAAAGCAAAGGAACCTAAGGGAGAAAAAGAAAAGCATAAAAGAATGTTTTGAACATCTGTATCCCCCAAATGATGACATGTGGGCCACTGAAGTGGATGAGATTGTTTTGGATGGCACATGAGTATTTTTATATTTTAAAAGTCATATTTTCATTGCTTATTAGATGTATTAGAAAATCATAACTAGCCGTATATAATTAACAGTTTCATGGATATTAAATATAGATTTAAAATTTGAGCTCGTTCAAGGAAAATACGAAATAGAAAACACAAGCGGCTCACAGATTTGGCA